ACAATGTGCGAATAATTGGAATATAACCATACCTTGGCCTGTTACTAAAGGCCGAGTGAGCTGTGGGAGAGTGGGGGCAGGAATAGGAGCAGACATTTATGTAACAGCTATCATTTATTCGGAATCGGGATCTGTTGCAAATGCAGGTGTGCTGACCAAACCGTTTCTCTAAAAACAAATCTTATGTTACCTTATCTCTGTGTGTATAGGCCTTATCTAGCACTATTACTAAACCTCACTATTTAACAATTACTATTAATTCTGTTAACCGAGATCCAGTCTAATTATTTACGAATCCCAAGTTATAAGGTCATAGTCAGCACACAACGGATATCAAACGGCTCCACTTTCTAAATCAGACCCAAGTTTGGGGACTTCCGACAAAGTTTACACCCCATAGATAGGGAGTCCCCATCTGCTAATTACCATTTCAGTGCCCTTAAAGGTTGTGTATATAACATCCTTATTTAGTCTGCCTTTCTGTTTGGTTTTCTTGTTTATTCGCATAAAATATATTGGACTTTGTGAATTTTGCTGCCTTCCACCATAAGCTGTATTTTGTTTTTTTTTTCAGCTTCGCTAAAATAAAAATTTTTAAAAACCATGAAATTCAGAGCTCCGACACTTAGGTCTTGCTTTCCAATTAATGGTTTATAGTTAAGTTGTTTTTTTTATCCACAAAATATTGTATCAGACCTGAGGAAATTGATAAGAATTCTAAAACCTTACAAATTATAACACTTATTGAAATCAAGAAACTATTTATTTTTTTTGTTATATAGACCATTACATCATGTTTCAACTTATAAGTCTATAATGTTACGATGAATTAAAAGATGTAGTAGCGTTTATAATTTTATTCATAAAATCAAAATAAATAAGTTGGTATTAACAAGAAAACATTTGTACCAAATTTAATTCATCGTGCCACTGCAAAAGGTACGATTTCAGTTATTCCTTCCCCTAACCTCTTTCTGAAGGAAATTTCATCATTTTTTAACAATAATTTGGTTCTGGAACTTAAAAAAAAAATTAATCTAAAATCTACAATTAAAAGTGGTGAAAAGAATGAGAGTAATTTAAAATGCACTTCTCCAAAATCACCTTAATTTATCTATACTTTGGATCCACTAACTTTATTTGGAGGGACTGCTCAGCGCGAAATTTCGAAAATAGGATAAACACGAAAATTCTTTTTGATAAGATGAACTTTAAACAAAATGTATCTAATATATAACAAAATATATTGCTCTCCCTGGAAAAAAAGTTATATAACCCCTTACAGCTCATACATTGGTCCAAAATTGGCCACTGAGAAATCTACATCAGGCACCTCTGAAAAAAAAAACATGAACGTTCTAAGAGACTTAAAATTAATATAAAATATACCTCCCCCTTCAATGTTTTTCGATACAATGCCATATTCAATTGTATTCCTTAAATCGGTCGGGACCGACTATGTTTATGTTTGAACATTAACACTGATAATTCTAATAAGGCACTGATAATTCCGGTTTTCATATTCATATTTATTGTATTATATTCATATTATTCAAATTGTAAACAAAAACAAAAACAAATGTAATAATAAAAATACTTTTATTTTACAACACACATATATATATAGAGAGGGAAACAAATGTAAACAGTATGATTTGAAATTGAAACAGTCAAAAAGAAATGCAATAATCTCCGCAACAATAACAAAACACTTTAATGTTACATCAGATATATGAAATAGACAAACACAAATGTAATAAATAAAAACATAAATGGAATGAACCATGTTCCTTTCCTTATAGAAACGTTTTTGTTACAAGTTGTACGGAAGCATCTCCATTTCGTCTTCCAGTCGAACTTCATTTCATGACCTTCATCACAATATTTCATCTTTGCAATTATCCTGGTGTCTTGAAAATATTTGATAGCCTCTTCTTCTGAAGACGGCAATTTCCACAATGTAATATAATTTGACATTCATAATTTAAAGAAAATCACACTAATGGAACAAAAAATAAACAATGGAATAGCTGAGCTTACACGAGATAAGAAGGGAGGTTATGTGATGTAACATTATATAACAAGGGAGGTTTCGTCCCGACCGGCTATTTAAAGAGTACCAATTATTTTCTAGGATAATACGAAAAAAAGTAGTACTTCACGATAGAGCAACATAGTTATTATTTATAGAATTGCCCATAGCATTCGGTAAACACTAGCTTATACCAATAATAAATTGATGACCGAACAATCAAAAAACCTATCTAAAAACATCGAAAACTGTTCATATTTTCTCATATCGAGTGTAATGGCATTCTTTACTTGGATGAGTTATTATTTTTATTTTTAAGAAAAGAAAAACAATATTTTGTTTGTATAATTAGAAGTATCCTGGTATTTTGTTTTTAAAAATATTTTTTGATAGAAACTTGTTAATTTCAAATCGATAATTTGAACATGCCTATTTTAGACCTCATATCATTACATAATTAATTAAAGTTACTTCATATTTTTCGAATTATTATTTCTTTTTTACTATCATATTATAAATAAGTAGACCATTATTTTATGAACTTAAATTGGAATTTTCGTAATTTGGAATAATATTGTTTTAATTGAAAGAATATATAATTTTTTTAATATTTGGAATCAAAAATAATAAATAATCTTTTATTTTGAGGAAAAAATACATTACAAAAAAAATAGAAAAATTATAACAAAAGCAATGAAAAAGAAAACTTAGTAAAATAGAAGAAATAAAACATGATACAACACTAAATAAAAATTTAAAGACACATTCATACTTATTTACAATATTTACAGCTAGCCGAGGGAGCTCCAAATCTGCAAAATTATGCCTCACAATAATATTATTCTTTCTAAAACCAAAATAGAATAATCAATTTCCCTCAGAGACTCAGAGGCTGTATGAAAGTATTTTTTACTGAGTTTTTGAATTGTTTATCCTAAATTTTCAACTTAATTTTGATTTGAAATTTGTTTTTCTGTTACAGGTACTTGAAGAACATTACTAGAATGGCTTAGAGTGGTAAATAATGATATTTATTATTAGAGTAAGATAGAAAAATAATAATTCCAATAGGATAAGCTATATGTCTTTAAGTCAAAAGGATGCCCCCATGGCTGTCGTGTCATTATTTCTTATATCACCATCACATTTGCTGATTGTCAATAATAAGTTGACAGGCGCAAAAAAAATTGTATGGACAAAAAAATTTACTATATTATGTGTATAATTTAGTTTATTATTAAAATTTAAATATTAAAATAATTAATTTAATACCTAACAATTGAAAAAATCTGCAAATAGCATTAAATAATTTACAATTTTCGGACAAAGTATGAGATCGACAAACAATTTTTCAAGTATTTTCATTCTAGATATGTTAATGAGACTAGTTTAGATTTGTTTTATTAGACTGAAAATCCCTGATAATTTATTATCATCATATTTTATTTCTTAATTCAACAAAAACATCTATCCCTTATTTTTCTTATTATACCAAGCAGAAAATAGGTTTTAAAAAATGAGACAGAATTTATCTTGCTGCATTTTTATTTATTATTGCGAAATTTTTTACTTTTACCAGAAAAAAATAACAAAATATAATATCTACCAACAAGTTATCATTGTAGAGCACAAACAAATCACGAAAATCCATTCAACATCAGATTAAACTATAAACACTCATCGTTGTTCAGTAAAATTAAATTATTTTTTATCACTAAATTTTTATCGGAGTGGAATAGGGTTAATTATTTGTGATCAAACTTAAAATTTTTTTAAAAGAGACGCTCATAGATGTTGGAATATAATTTTTAATTTATTTAAGTTTAATATTTATTCAACAATTTAATTTCAACTATTTTTTCTCCCAACTCTATAATACCAATATTCCATGTGAGATATCGAATTAATTACAAATGGTAGATGAGTTGACAAATGTTAGCTCATCTTTTATAATAAATCATGATGTTTACTTTTAATTACACCCGCAATCTGAGAGAAACAAATTTGATCAGCGCCAACAGAACAAACAGAAAAAGCGGAATATATTATGACAATGATTCGTGAACCGTTGTTCATATTTACTGATATGATGTACATTATATGGAAACAATATTTAAAATTAATTAAAATCAAATAATAATAATAATAATAATAAATTGAATGAATGTACACATATAGCCTTAATGACCAATGCCATTGATTGTGCCAGATTGTATTATTATTATTCCAATAAAATAATAGTTAAATTAAAATCAATAATTATTTTTCTATATTAATTGGCTCGATTCTGTCAATTGCCATTAAATCTATCGGTGAATCAACGTTTTGCCAATACAGATACCATCAGAACTAAAAACCACAAAATAAATAAAACTTCAATATTTTATTGTATAATATAAACTAACCAAACATAGATTATTCATAAAAAGTTCAAGATATAAGACATTCGGCATCCCCGGCAATGACGTTATCTCCCCCTCTCCCTCTAAACATTATTTAATAATTTATTTCTTAAACTGTTTTTTGTTCATAATATTTCAATTTTATTTTATTCAATATGTCTCTTAAGTTACTTTGTTAATAGGCTAAAATAATTTATTCTCATAAACTTTGTATTTTTGCATTATAAAGTACAAGTACGCCCCCATCCAGCTAAGCACCCTGGGGCAATTGCCCGGGCCTACTAAGGCCAGCATTTGGCTATATTCTTTGGACTGTTGACGAATTTGTACTCTCTGTTCTACTATTATGATTTCGGGCTTTTCAATTTCGATGTTGTTCATATTGGGAAAACTTCGAATGATTAGTTTTTAACTTGACATTTTATTTAGAAACATCCTATCATAACATGACTATAGTTAAGTATACTATAGTTTGTATTCTTTTTCAAGTTTGTTTGTACTTGATAATTATTGAAGAAAAGATTATGATTTTGTTTTATTTTATTTCTAGGAATAGCAAGATAACAATGGAGTGGGACTATAGGGACAGCCTGTACAACGGAACCAACGGAAGCCTGCTGGCAGACCGCAACGCTAGTTGCCCTAAGGTCAGCACTCTGTTCCATGAGACTCCCTTCGGAGTAGCCTTCGCGGTACCTATCTGGGAAGGAATATCCACGGCCATCGTGCTTACACTGATCATCATCTTTACCATCGTGGGCAATATTTTGGTCATCCTCAGCGTCTTCACTTACAAACCGCTACGGATCGTGCAGAACTTCTTTATTGTCAGTCTCGCGGTGGCCGACCTCACAGTGGCAATCTTAGTCCTTCCTTTCAACGTCGCATACTCTATTCTTGGGCGATGGGTGTTCGGAATCCATATCTGCAAGATGTGGCTAACCAGTGACGTCATGTGCTGCACTGCATCGATCCTCAACTTGTGCGCTATTGCGCTTGACCGATATTGGGCCATTACAGACCCCATAAACTATGCCCAGAAAAGGACACTGAAGAGAGTGCTCGTGATGATCGGGGGTGTCTGGATAATGTCCATGTTGATCAGTTCACCACCCCTGATTGGCTGGAACGACTGGCCAGAAGTCTTCAGCAACTCCACACCCTGCCAGCTAACTTCGCAGCAGGGTTATGTAATATATTCGTCCTTAGGCTCCTTTTATATTCCTCTATTAACAATGACTATTGTTTACATAGAAATATTTATAGCTACCAGGAGAAGGCTACGCGAACGGGCGAGGGCGTCTAAACTCAATGCTGTAAAACAGAACCTACAACAGAACAATTCTATGAGGGAGAAACATTCTCCAGTCGATGGTGAATCGGTGAGCAGTGAGAATGCTCATGAAGATCACAAGGAAAAGAAGAAGAAGAAAAAGAAGAAGAAATCTGAAGAGAAGAAGAACAACCAGCTGACAGCTCAAGTTGCAGATGACTCCTTTACCGACATCCATGAGATATCGTCCAACTCTCCCAAGTCACGGAAGGACGAGTGGCGGGATGACAAGAACAGCCAGACCCCGCTAGTGTCGGTGACGGTGACGCCAGGAAAGAGGGCGATCCAGGTGAGCCAGTTCATCGAGGAGAAGCAGAGGATATCGCTGTCCAAGGAGAGGCGTGCTGCCCGGACCCTCGGCATCATCATGGGGGTCTTCGTCGTCTGCTGGCTCCCCTTCTTCCTCATGTACGTCGTCCTTCCGTTCTGCCCTACCTGCTGCCCATCCGACAAGTTGGTCAACTTCATCACCTGGCTAGGCTACATCAACTCCGCCCTCAACCCCATCATATACACCATTTTTAACCTCGATTTCAGGAGAGCTTTTAAGAAGCTTCTTCACATCAAATCTCAGACGTGATCCTTCTTCCATTTCTCCATGAAAAAACGTGATAGACAGATTAAAGAGGAAAAAGTTAGATTGTTTTATAATTTGTTGTGTAGATTTGTTTTATAAGGTGAAGAAACGGGTCATAGAGAAAATTGTAAAGTTCTATAAATATTTTTAGATCGAATTTATATGTATGTTGTCTGGAATCTCGTACCTCTAGTTATTTCCCGATCTTGTAGATTTTTAGTATTAATGTAGCCTACGAAACCTTGTTGTCATTTTCGATATGTAAAAGAACGCTCTGTCCTCTTAATTATGAAAGCATATCAGTCGGTAAGTTATAGTATATTTCTTTGACTTGAGAATTATTTAAAAATCTATGGTTGTGATACTTTACTTTTTATTTTAAAAATAGTGTACTGTTTGTATATAATTGTCAATAGAGTTGGAATTCACAGGAGGCGCGCACGAGAACCACTTGGCCAAAGAAACCCCCTAAAATCGTAAATATATAGCTTCAATGTACTAATAACATATCCAGGCCTGTTACTCAATCATTGGCTTAGCTATGTTTCGAAAACTATTTCGATTAGATAATATTGATAATATACCCAACACATATTTTGACAAGTAAACTTTAAAAAAATTTAAACATAAAGAAACAATATAAATAATTGTATGCTGTGCAATCTAGATTCGGTTCTTCCAGCGATTATAGCATATATTCTTGGCTCTTCTTAGCCCATGTTTATAATTTATGCTATCTGTAAAGCACCAAGAGCTTGTTCTAATGTCATCAATAATATTTTATTTACACTTTGTTCTGTCACATCAGTTGAAATGAATACATATCGGTTGATCAAATCAATTCTTTATATTTAACGTAAAAATCGATATTATTAGATGATGGTCCGTTTTCATACAATAATCAACCTATAGAAAATAGTTCGAATCTATTGATATTTCGATAATTTATGAATAAATAATTTAATGTAGTAATTAACTCACTTAAATCCTTCCCGTTTTAATGTTTTCCTTTTTACTTTAGGATTCCTTAGATTTCTGTAGTCCTTTAAGATACTTGACAAGCTTTAGTAAATTTTACGTAAACTGTTTTACCAAGGCCTCATTTTCAGAGAGCCATCAAGCCTTAATGCCTCTGATACAAACAAAAAACCTAGCGCCCTCCGTTTTTTTACTTAACTCTGAAATGTGTTTCAGCTTATTTTCCCTAACGGCCGTAATAAACTAAATTTAAAATTCATTTCTGCCATTTGTGCTTTTTTTTTTTTTTTTTTTTTTCTTTTTCACTCGCTTCCACAAATTTCTCTCTATTTTCAGGATAATGCAATTTTCACTGATGTTTACAAAGGTTCCTTTCACTTTTTCAAATCTTTTCAGCTAAATCAAGAAATTTTAAACTACTGAACTCTTTGCTATGATAGACACTTTCTGGAAGATTGCAATCGCAGTGAAATGAACATTCCCTTCGGTGTTAACCATTTTAAAATCGTCCTCACTTATATGAAACTTTAAAAAAAAATAAATAAATAAATTGATTTCAACTATAGTTTGTTGAGTCGTGTTGGTTAGATTAATTGCTTTAACTTACACTAGATGTCGTACACGACCGATGAGATAGAAGTGAAGTGATCCATTGTGCACATCTCTGCTAAGTTCAGCTTTCACTAGGTTATAATAATAATAATAATAAAACAAAAATTCGTCATCAAATGTGATAAATTAAGAATCTTTACGCTTAGATCTTTGCTGTTTAAATAGAGATGGCTTTCAAAAAGATTAAGCATGCTTAATTATGTAATATTGTAACTATCATTATATATATTAAATATGTATATACAAAAGTTGTTATCGAATAAAAATAGTTAATATATCGTAGAATATAAATTTTATGTGTCTTCTCCCTATTTCAATATTCAATGAGCCCGTTTATTGAAATAGGGTATGATAATAATTGTTAATATGCATTACATGTATTTTTTGTTCTGTATTAGCATTAAGTTGTAAATAGTTAATTAAGGTACACTTGTATATGAACTGTCTTAAATAAATTCGATCTCAATGATTGTATTGTAAATGTTAAATGTGTGCTTTTTAAAATAATTATGCTATGAAAATAAATGATATTGAGTTTCTATTTCTTTATACTCATTCCTTCGTCATTAGAGAGGAATATCAGCGTAAGTATAAGCTAAATATAGTTATAGTTAGAATTATAGATTAAATACAACTTCAACATTACCTAATTATAAAATATAATTTTCTAACTGACTTCAATTTCAGTTTATTTTGTTTAGGAGTGAAAACAAATAGTAAATCTATATAGCGTATTATTTATTTTTAATTATATATATAAAATTTTTAGACTTTTCAAAAACCTCTATCATAAGCATAATAAATTACAAATAATAGTTCAAAAACGAAAAATACATTAATAAATATAAAATAAAATAAAAGTCTACAAAACTACAAATAACAAATGCAACCTATATAAAAGATAAATATTTTTCAATTAGAAATTAATTATGAAATATAAAATCACCTTATTTATATTTAGTCACAATTGGTGAAAATGTTATAGATTCAATTATTATTGACATTTAAAATTTAAAAAAAGTCAGGTTAAATTTTTTTTTAATTCAGAAATATAATAATCTGTCACGCGGATAATAATTATACTGATATATGAACACGTTCACACCATATATATACAGAAAATATAAAATTAACAAAAATAAAATAATAATCAAAAACTACGTACAATAAAAAATTAAATAACCTTTTTTTTTTCCTATGCCATAGTCATTGGTCATTCGACCATCCGACATCTTGCTGCCCAATATAAGTTTGATTTTTGTATGTAATCATTTACATATGTTTGATTCTTTATATCCGTCAAAGCAGGACATTCGTTTAGGTGGTCTGCATCCATTTCCGCTTGTTCACATAATTTACATCTAGGATCCTCAGCCACGCCTATCTTGTGGAGATGACTTTGTAGATAGTGGTGACCAGTGGCCAGGCGGAAGCAGGCTACTGCATCTCTTCTTGGTAGGTCTGCTGGGATCGGGTTTTCCATCAAACATCCATAACGTCTCCCTTCCACCTTGTCTTTGTGCATATTTTTTGTTTCCTCCTTCTCTACCATCCTCACCATTCGCCGAATTTAATCGTAAGATTTTGGATGGACTGTTTGTGGCAATTCTGCTCCCCTCCTGGCGAGACTATCCGCTTCCTTATTTCCTGGAATACCGCAATGGCTCGGAATCCACTGAAGGACCACATTGGTGCCTCGGAGTGTTAGATCGTAGAGAAGGGATTTGCACTCCAAGATAGCACTCAACATACATTTATTCACGTCAGTAATGGCGAGGATTGCTGCTTGCGAGTCGACAAAGAGAACAGCGTTCTGAACTTGCCTTCCTGATAGTGTTCTTAGGGCTATGAGGATCGCTGCTATCTCACCGTCAAAATTCGTACCATCCTCATCCACCGCAGCACTGAACTGAAACTCTCTCGAGTAAACCCCTGCCCCAGCATTTTTAACGGCTGATTCAGCTGATCCGTCGGTATAAGTGTGAAGCCAATCCTGAGGCTATAAAATAACCTAAAAATAAGTAAATTAAAAACATAAAAACACAGTCATACCTAACAAGTTAAATTAAAGCTAAAAACTAAAAAAATAAGAGGTTATAAAAGCAGTAAAGATTATAGTACAAATATAAGTTGAAGTGCACAAGAAAAAAAGTTAACTAATATAATTTTTTTTTTTAGTTTCTTTATGACATTTACAACTGTATTACATAAATACATCAAGTAAATTTGGACATAATTGATATAATGACATGAATACACGTTGAGTAACTACCCAATGGTAGCACTCTAATTATATAATTGATGTTAAAATTAAAAACAATAATGTTACAAATACAGTTAAAATCGCTTTAAATTAAACAGTAAAATTATAAGTTGAATTTTATGTTTGCAGATTATGAATATAAAAATATTAAAAGTTTACCAGTTTGTAAGTAAGTTGAATAATTAAATTTTGTAAAATATTTTGATTATTTTAAGGTACAACGTTAAGCTTTTAAAAGATTAAAGTTTAAGTCTTAACCTTAAAAAGCTATTATATTTACAACAATGTGAGCTGTTCAACTCTTTGGTTCATTAATTGAGTCAATACAATATTTGATATTACAAAAAAAAAATTGATTTATAAAGCTATTAAAAAAAATCAAGGAGTTAATAATAAATGATTTAAATATTATCAGGAGCTAATTTGATTCTTTATAGGCTCAAAATGCAATATGCAGTTGGGCTAGCAGTACGATACCTCTAAAAACGTGACATTTCATCTCCAATCTTACACAGTTGAACGATATACAATGAGAAAAAAAATGAAGTATTTTTTTCGATTTATTTTTGGGAACCTTAAATAAACCAACTTTTCAAAGAATACAATGAATTGTATTAATATTCTTTTAAACATCCTTCATATATCTTGCTGCCCAATCCAATCGCACTCTTTATTGAATCTCGTTCAGATTCAATCTGAAACTCCCACTCGTAATACACGTTCTCGCCTTTCCGAATCCTATATCTTTTCCAATAAAACTGCAGCATTCAACAAATTCTTCATAAACTCAACTCCTGATAAAATTCTATTCTCTTCTTCGACTGCAATGTTGCGTCTCTTTCCATTTTTCAAAACCGTCCTACCTTTTTCTATTCCCGAATCTAAATCCTTTTCATACTAGAATCCGTAAAATATTTTTGATTTCTGTTAAATCAATTATTTTCGGCGAAACTTGTCGATTTCAAATCTGATAAGATTTATTGGAGATACACACAGATTGTCGGATACGTTCCACGACTTCTCAAAGAAGCAGCACTTAAAAGTGAGTTACGGTTTAAAATACAACAATCTTACTGTTTATTATAGAATGAGATTCTACATATTTAATTATGCTTACTTATACGAGTACTTAAAGACCTTGGTAGCATAA